TCTCGTGGGGGGAGAGGGGAGCGCATCTCATTGAGGAGGTGGGGGGAGGGAGGGGGCGCATCTCGTGGGGGGAGGGAGGGAGGGAGGGGGCGCATCTCGTGGAGGAGGTGGGGGGAGGGAGGGGAGCGTATCTGGTGGAGGAGGTGGGGGGAGGGAGGGGAGCGCATCTCGTTGGGAGGGGGGTAAATGGTAAATGGACTGTACTTGTACAGCACTTTTCTAGTCTTTAACACTACATGACATCATTCACACCCTGATGACAGGAGAACCACACACAGTGACACCTGCCCATCAGTCACTAACATCCACACACTGTATTCGCAGCTACAGGAGCATGTTGGGTTAATTGTCTTGCCCAAGGACACATCGACATGCGGGTTAGCAGAGCCTGGGATCGAACCCACAACCCTCTGATTGGAGGACGACCTGCCCCCCGCTCACCCACAGTCGCCCTGCAGTGAATCTGATCAGTTCATCCTTTAGTCCAGCTGTTGTACTAAGACAGCTGTAACTTGGGGGCTGGCGTTGCTGCCAATTGCTCCGTCCATCCGTGACCTCACTTCAGTTATCATTGTGCCTCCTGCTTCTGAGTGGAATACAAACTCGTGGCATGTAGCATGTTGCACAGACATGAGCCAACCACAGAGGGGCACCGTCTGTCTCCTAGCAACTATGATTTTCACATGACACTCAGAAGGGAGGGAAAGACACGATTCCATAAATAGCTGCAGTCTCATGTCAAGACAAAAGTACATTAAAGGGCCGTAGAGGTGTTTTACATTACTAATGTTTTTTACGTTTAGCTACATCACCAACATCAAAGACACAAAAAACCTGCTGGACATGTAATATATTCATCGCTGTGGAAGCTGTCCAAAGGAATGACCCACATCTTCAATACAGTTCATAGTGTTCCATATCAAACTGATGACATACAGCTGACTTTGCATGTGGCTCACGAGTCAGTACTTACGCATCATCTGGCGTTAGCTGCACTGGTTCATTAGTAAATTGCGTGTCGAAGTTCTCGAGGCCGTAGTCGTCAGTGATTTGAGGTTTGAAGGGCGGCGTCATCTCTTTCTTTTCCAGCTGAGGGAGAACAAACACATCAGAGTCTTCAGAGGTTCTAAATCCATACTGGAGAGTGGAGACCATGTAGGAGAACATAACCCAGAGCACATTGACTTCGCTAGAGCAGAACCTTCTGCAACCATATTTGAGTTCCCGTCTTAGAAAACTGCACATCTGCTGTTTCCATCAAAATAGCACCAAACAGAAAGTAAGGATTTGAGGGCGTCAACTCCAAGAGGTGTCAAACCTATCAAACGCATTCAGCCGACATTTGAAAACGTGTAGCAGACTTTGTCTAAGAGCTAAATCCTCAGCTAGGGCTTCTTCTTCTCCATTACAGAGACTACTAGAAGTGTACAGCGCTGACCAGCATTATGTCTGCTACATGGATCACCTGACTCTCTTTATTTTACTTACTCTCAACAAATTCACTTAGATATCAAAAGCAACAATGGTATTTAGCTAATGGTACCAGTCATACTTTCTAGCAGTGCATGTAAAATAAAGACTAATTATACTTAGTAGAAGATGTTGTATGGATTGGGTCATATTTCTTTCTAAGCGCCAACGGTCTCTGTGGCTGCAGGCTGAGATGGTGTGAGGTGGACCGGCACCGGCTGGTAGGATGAACCCCCGGATCCAAAGTGTAGGCCATGGACGCTGCTAAGCACCTACAGTAGATCGACGCCTGCTAGCAGGGCACGCTAACGTAATTGACTCCCTTAAGAACAGACAATACCAGTTTAATCTTTGAGGTCCAGGTGTCAGTCTGTCTCCAGCCCCATGAACACCTTTCATCCACTGCCACGCTGTCCCGAGGGTTACTAAGGAGACCGCTTGGGTCAAACACACCAACTGACCAATCAGGCCCTACTGCTGCTCCTCTTCTCCACGACCAAAATACCACAGAGAGTATCTGTGGTATTTGTGGTGTACATCCTACCAGCTGTTCGGGACAATAACTAAACCTTCTTCTTTGAATGAAACTACTTTTGTGAGGAGGCTGTTCTCTGGCGTACCCATGATGAAAAGTCTAATAACTACAACTACTTCTGTCTATCTGCACAAGGTTTTTGCTGAGTCCTATTAGACACATTGAGGTGACAGTAGTGATGTAACGCGTGAGGCTTTAGTGCACATTGGAGCTAAGACCTGCTTCTGGCTCGGTTTTAGAAATCAGGGAAGCAGGTTAACCTTTTGTTGGTTTGGATGTTTACAAAAGCTCTGGGAGAAATGTGTGATCGGGGGAAACATAACAGCAACTCACGCCTAAACATTTGAAATGACGGATAAAAGTGTCCCATTTGAGATGATCAAACCATCACTGCGCCGTGAGAAACGTTGTGACATATGAACATCAGGCTCTTCTCCGTATGCTCACAACTGCTGGAGTGAAGAGTGACTGATAAGGGAGAGAAGACAACAGCACGCAGCGGGATTCAGTTTCCATGGTTTCACACCGTCCTGGTAAATCGTGCACAGAGGACATTTTTCTGAGAACACTTTTCTTTATGAATTGTCAGCAGTAGGTTAGAGCGAGCGTGAAGTAGAGATAGTACATCATGTTTTTAGAGGCTGATCCAGGCGCTGTCTAATAGCTGGTAACTTAAATGAATCACGTGTAGGTTATATTCAGTCTTTGAATGTTTGACCCAAAAATCCTCTTGCTATTTGCACCCATGAACAGGATACTGGGATCCAGTCACATGACAACAAAGAATAGTTTCTAACTTTGGGTCTGAGGAGGCATGCGGGCCACTGAATATGTGCAGGATGTTATTCCCATAATGCCTCCATCCAGAAGAGTAACGGGAAGAAGCAGGCTTGTGTTATTCAGAAAAAACTTCATTCAACCCTCATAACACTTGTCTCTTTTACAGTCGTGGTCTGTGGTATTATATTGTTTCTCAGAATGAAAAGCTGACTTTATGAAGCTTCATCAGATCAGTGGTAGTTGTCCTGGTTTTAACTTTAACCACAGAGATCATCTCGTTGTGTTGGTGAGGATGCTGTGTACGTACGGGTTAGTGGTCGCGTGTGTGTTGGTTCTCCTGCAGCAGCTCCTGTGCTTCATTAGTCTTATTGGTTCAAAGTGCTCAGTGGGAACAGATACAGACAAACAAACAGCACTCGGTACCTTCTGCCATGACTCCTTCTCTATGTTAGTGAACCTTCCCTGAATCTCTCCCTCTCTCCAATCATTTGTTCTTCTCCACTTTCTGCAAATTTTATCTCCACTCCTCTGTCCGCTTCACCCCCACAAATCCTGCCTCCATCCCCCTGATCTCCGTTTGTCTGCTTCTTACTCATTGCCAACTGCGTCATCTTTCCACATGGCCCTCCTCCCACCTTCCCCAGCCTGTGTGATGTGTTGTTGGGCAGCCTGAAGCTCTGTGTGCTGGTTATGAAGCACTCTGAGGCCAGAGGGCACATGAGGTAGTGCCATGGCTATCCAGGCCGTCCATGGGCTGTCCCATCACAGCAGTGTGTGTGTGAGAGACAGTAGCATCAGTACGGCTCTTTGGGACCACGTGTTAAAGTGACTCCACAAAGAAGAAGAGGGAATTGTTAATGCACGCAGCTCCCGTCCATCGATGGAAGGAAACACACCCGAGATCGTGGAACAACAGACAATTTGACAACACAACGAGAAACAAACAGCACATGAGACGAAACAAGCAGGTCAGCCAGAAGATGGATCAACCCTACCCGACCCGACCCGAACCGAACCGAACCGGACCAAGCCCTGTGAGGGCTCTTCCCTGTCCGCACACGTTACACGGGTCATTAAAAGTGGTGTTTCATAAGGGCCTGCCTTCATGTGTGGTGTAGAAAGCACTGACCAATCGAGTTAAACCATCCCACTACTCGACCAATCAAGTCTTTGCATGATATCGTCTTCATACAGCAGACAGACGAGAGAGGCAGCGGCAAATGACAAGTAAAAAGATGGTAGGAAGAAGGGAAAGGGAACAAAATCAGAGAAAAAGACGAATGAGACGAGAAAGCGAGAGAAAGGACGGATGAGCAAAAATGGACAGCGAAGTAGAATATTTAATCCATAATGGACGGACTGGTTTCTGCTCGTACTTCCCACTGCAGCACTAAACCAGTGTCTCATATGCTTAGAAAAATATGGTATATATATGTATATTCTATTCAACTGTCCAATTGTTTAAATGTGTTTAGATTTATTATTTATATAATTATTTAGAAGTCCAAATGTGAATCAGAAAAGGGGAAATTCCAGATTTTCTTCCCGTTATTTTATGTTTTCTGAATTGAAGCACTTTATTTGAAGATGCAGAATTCTTTTTATTTATTTTTTTTTTTAATGGCTTAATGGAGAGAACGTTATTCATATCTGCAGTCACACATATATGTTCAGTTCTTACAATAAATATTGTCAAAAGCGTTTTAGAACCGTGCTGAATTCATTTGATTTGTCGTGTATTGATGACATGAAAATGTTGATACAACTCTGTTCCTCTACTTAATCACACTTCGTAGTCACATTATGATCTTCTGGACCTCTGCTTCTCTAACTGGATCTCTTCACATTTTAATTGAAGACCCCTGCTTTAAGGTAAAGTAACTCCGGGTGTAGCATGTAAATGTATCTGCTACAATATATCGTCCGTGTATTTGCTGATTTAGTGTACAATTGGTGTTGAAGTAGATGATAATCGGGATTAGCATTTCTTGTGTCAATGTAAGAATTAGCTTCAATGTCACTAATACGTATATGGTCAGTTTGGAATGTCACATATCATATCATGGTGTCGCAGTTTTACAAAATGAGGAAGATTCATACTAAAAGTCCTCCACTCTACGGATTCCTCTGTCTTTATTTCATGGATCTACTGTTTGATATCGGTACAAAGCCAGCGCAGAATAATGAGAATAATGAGTGTAAGTAGTGAGAGATGATCCCAATGAACACGTGAGGGAGGAGCGCTGGATGGATGGATGGCGACCTTTCAGACTTATTTATGTATTTTTATTTTATTAACACATAATAGGCTGATGAGGGATCATGGTCATTTCATTTATTTCTTTGAGATATCAGTGTAAGCATTTGAGGTTTAGGCGTCAGTGTGCATCTCTACTACTGGCCTTTAGAGACCCAGGCGGCCTGAAACTGGACTAGGTATCTTTTCTCTAAACCCAGCTAGTCTGGTAAATTTGTTGTTGATTCTGCTGTTTTTAGTTACAGCAGTTGATTGCTAGTTAGCTCTTTCCGTTTTTCAGTGACTGGACTGCCAGGTCTCGCTGTAGATTCTGCTATATTAGATTAAATTGACGGCTAGCGTGCCCTCCTGTCTTTGCTAGGTTTGACCTGAACTCTGTTTTTCTTTCTCTTCTGAAGCAAAGCCGACTTGAATTATTGAAACTTTTCACTGATTGGGGTGACAGAAGTGGTTTTTGTTTTGCACTTTGAGGAGTTTCTACTGGGGAAATCAAGCTTTTGTTTCCTAACGACGCGGGGTGTGGTCAGACTTCATCTTCGGCTTTGCTATCCAGCATTGGCTTGACTATCTCACTCTCACTCAGACCTGGATCACACCAGACAACACATCCACCCGGTACATTTGACACAGTCAACCACCAGATCCTTGTCTCCTCCCTTCAGGAACTTGGTGTCACAGGCTCTGCTCTCTCCCTTCTCTCGTCCTACCTCGACGGTCGCACCTACCGGGTAACCTGGAGAGGATTTGTGTGGGAACCTTGTCCTCTTACTACTGGAGTTCCTCAGGGTTCCGTCCTGGGTCCCCTCCTCTTCTCGCTCTACACCAACTCTCTCGGCTCTGTCATTCACTCGCATGGCTTCTCCTACCACAGCTATGCCAATGACACCCAACTAATTCTCTCCTTCCCTCACTCGGACACTGAAAATCAACCCAGACAAGACTGAACTACGATCCTGTAGATACTCGTTCTACAGCATCAGGAGAACACGTCCTCTTCTCACTCAGAAGGCTGCCCAGGTACTGATTCAGGCTCTTGTCATCTCCCTCCTGAACTGCTTGTTCCTCCTCACTGAGAGCAAAACACTCGACTAGATCTCCACTCTTTGCTGTCCTACTCCTAAATGGTGGAAGGAGGTCTCTGAAGACATCAGGACCACAGAGAGCCTTCACATCTTCAGACTAAAGACACACCTCTTCACACTCTACTTCCACTAACACACTAACTGCAGCACTTACACTGGACTTATAATGGTTCTTATCTACAGCGTGTTGTACATCGGCTTATTTGATGAAATTGCACTTTCTTGTTTCTTGTTCTTCTGAGTTTGTGTCCTTATGGTTGAAATGTTCTTATTGTAAGTCGCTTTGGATAAAAGCGTCAGCTATATGACATGTGATGTAATGTATCAAAGCGACATTTCAAAAGGATTTAGACTTAACAAACATCCCAAAACCGGAGCACTGTTCTGACTTACATTGATAAGTTCTAGTCTAGTAAAACAATAAATACTGATCATTTTGAGACATTAGTTTGGTGTTACACGTCTAGTCTACATGAATTATGAGGTCATTGAGTCAAACTAATCACAGTGATGAATGAAAGCATCCTTCTCTGTTGGGGAGACGGGTGTCATCTGGCCTAAAACGGACCTGACAGCAGGTAGCAGAAATCCTTTCTATCTCATGCGATCCAAGCAGAGTCTGCACCAAACAATACTACTATTAAAAATGACATATTTTCATCTGGCCTATTTAAAAATTATGAGCTATCTGTATTAAAAATACTAATTGTGCATAAAAGTACCGAGTCAATTTATGAGTTTCTGAGGTAATAATGGAGCCAAACCAAAAGCTAGAGTTGACTGTCTATTGGTTAGACAAAGATGCACTGCAGGGCACAGACGTCTGCCTGAGTCTGATCTCAGTGTTGATAACAGGAACAACAGTGAAACCCAGTCGTACCAACTTCCAAATGATACATGTCAATGCTCATCGACTCGACAGTTCCCTGGCGGGGGCATAAATGGGCGGCAGGTAACTGATATTCAAACGTGTCATCTCTTCAGAGAGGAAAGCAGGCGCTCCCTCAGGAACGTCTGATGAATATTAATACGAGGTAACAACAGCTGAGCGCCAGGCCTGTCAGGTCTACAGACAGGTTTGGAGTTTGAGGGCAGAGAGCGTCGCTTCTGCTCCTTTCACAGCTTTGTCAACTTGTTTTCCCTCGACGCTGAGCTCAGGGTTCCTCTCTGCTTTGATATCTTTCCTCAGTTGGCCTTGGGTGTGTACTTCACAGGCTCTGTGGCAGCACTCATTAACTCACTCAGTACGATAGTTTCCCCTGTTTGATGCCCGTACACTCGCTGCTAATTGTCCCATGAGGAAAGCAGCAACAATCAGAAGAAGAAGAAGTTCACGTCTGATAAAGGAGCCAATTATTGGTGCTTCCGTAGTCACTGAAACAAGGTAGCATTTTGAAGATGAAGCCTCTATTCGGTGTTCTTTTTAGAAGGTTAAAATACAACAACCAGCATCGCAGCTGCCGGTAAAACATCCTTTGTATTCATATTTCTCTACACAATGAAGCCATGATAGTATTGAGCTATGTAAAAGTCCACAGTACCGCTAGTTCAACATATCTTATGTTTATTATGTTTATTATTATTATTGCATTTATTTACTTGATCAGAAACAGCAGCTGCTGAAATGTTGAAGTTGTCATGCCACAATATGCCAAAGATATCTGGGCCATAAAGTGATCCTGAACAATTTCCTATCAACGATAACAATGGGAAAAAATGAAAGTTCTCTCTATTGGTTTCCGCTTTGTCACGTTTCATGGTAACGCTTTTGGTGACATGTCATGTAATGTAATGCAACGTAATGTAATGTAATGACCTGGGACACACACACACACACCGTGGCGGCTTACCAATAAAGAGCATAGGGGCGTGCCCCCCCATACCGCCCCTCCTTAAACAAGAACAAAAAAAATAATACAAAAATAAAAAATATAAATGTTCAATATCTGTGTACTCAGTAATATTTGTAATCAACCTGAGCTGACGATAAGACAGCAGACTGCTGAGAAACGTTAGCTAGCTGGATGCGCTCGTCTGCTTTCCTTTCAAACTACGGACCAAGCGGAGACAGACCCAGCGGGGACAGACCCAGCGGAGACAGACCCAGCGGAGACAGACCCAGCGGAGACAGACCCAGCGGGGACAGACCCAGCGGAGACAGACCCAGCGGGGACAGACCCAGCGGAGACAGACCCAGCGGGGACAGTAGTGAGGGACACAGAGCTCCTGTCTGATACGCTAAGACATACATGTATAATGCCTCATTGGGCAAAGTGAACATCTCCCCCAGCTGGAGGAAACAACATGGAGGGTGTTTTCTGTGTCATTGGCGTCAAGTCACCTGACCCCTGACCCCCGCTGGGCGCTGCTGCCCCTGTGTGGGGGGGTTAAATGCAGAGAATCATTTGCCCACAGGATTATAAAGGATGCTTTCTTTCTTTCTGCCTGTTCTTATTCAAGCTCTTGATATATACGTGTTTCAAACAGAAATAATTCTAGTGGTCAGGAACTGTTTGGAAAAGGGCGGAGATGAGCCGTCCGTCAGTGAAGAGAAGTGTCCTTCGTTCTCTCAGTGAAGTTCTGATGCTACTGCAGCACCGGAGGTGGGTTCCTGAGGATTCACCATTGGTGTTCAGAACCTCGTGTCGTCACACTCAGCGGCCTGTAGCTCCACACTGACTCTTGGTCTTTTAGCGCATGACTTATTATTCTGTCATAAATTCGAGGAAATCAAGCTGCTGTGGAAGGTACAAAAACAGACTTAGTGTGTGTGTGTGAGATTACCAGACTGTTTTCTAACAGACTAACTCATCACTCGGGAGCTGTACTCAGAGAAGCTAACCACGTTCATCGATCAGCTGGTTTCAGCTAACGTTAATCCAAGGTCATGACTGTCAGCGTGCTTCTTTCCACGGAGCTGAGTACTTTTCCTTCATTATGTTCTGTTAGCGAGCGAGCGGTGACGAGCTGCTCATGCTCCTTTTCAGGGTCAATAAACGGATGCGTCATATACCGTCAGAACCTTTCTACATAGCGTGATAGGACTTCTCGCCCAGCCTGATGGAGCGCTGACACTCGCTGGACGAGGTTTGTATTTGTCCAGGCAGAACATCTACTACGACTGAGTCATCTGTGCTTTACCAGCGTCATTCAACTCATATTCAACGAGGTCCAGTTAGGGAGAAGGTCCGCTATATATGTTAACCACCTCCTCCCCGTTACCATCGCCATGATCATTGTGCCTCCCCTCGGGATGCTTGCGGCTACGTTTGCTTTGTCTCGTAGCAGTGCTCCCAACCAGCTCATGTCTCTGAACATACGCGAACATTCAGGAGTGCATTTAAAAACAGAAGTGTAATAGTTCCTTATTATGGAACGGTTGTAGGTCCAAGGGGCCCCCGGTTTAAGCGCTATGAGATAAGATACCAGTTGACTTGCTCGTTTGGGAGCGTGGAAACCTCTGTGTACACCAAAATCAAATGCAGGAACAACCATTTAAGAATCACATCATGATACTGCACCAACGCTTAATCTGCTCTTACCTGCTCCCAGTCTATGTTGCGGAAAAATGTGTGTGCCTTGATATCTATGAAGCCCGTCTGGACCTGGCATCCCAGCCGCTCCTTGGGATCCTGTAGCGACAGAGACAGCTGGTCAGGGACACTCACAGAATGTAGATCTGGACCAAGGCAAAGCTTACTGATTGATAACATCCAGTCTATTATATTTGGGATGTAAATGGACGAGTCCCCCGACATGGACCGGGCTCTTACGTGGACGGGTGAACAGTGGCAGCCGGTGCTTTAGAGACCACACGTGTAACCTGGGGCTGAAATGCATAAGCAGCTGTGCACGTGTACAAACACAGATTGAAGGTATTTTTATGTGTAGTTCATGTACTACGGATCACATTTGCTGCTGAGACTTAACATTTTGTAGATTTTGATCTTTGGTCTTTGTTTCATTAAGGTAAAAACCTCGCAGAGGCTTGAAACTTGTTTGATTAAAATGATAACTGATTTATATGTATATGTACATATGCACATGAATATGTATACTTGTATTTGTTTGCAGTCTTTCGAGCACTCTGGCCTGTATAGTTACATTTTGGAAAGGGCTCAGCGATGTCCTCCAACAGCCTGTTACTGTGCAAATGATGCACGAGAAGAGGATCCGTTTGTTTGGAACTGTTTCTATGCGGATGACTCCACGCTTGGTGCTTTAATAAGTATTTGTGGCAGCAGGTCGTTGTAGGTGGGATTGAGTCAAAATGCAGAACACATAACAGCGCGTGTTGGTGGCTGTGGAGGAACACGTCAGCCGGTGCAACACACGGCCCACTGACGCCTTCTCATAACAGCAAGACAAAGAGATGACTTCATCCAGCGTGCTCCACGCTTTCACCACTACAACTAAAAACTTTAAACTTATCATCAGCATATTTGGGCGCTTGTATCGGTGGGGGCTGCAGGGGAAACAGTGGTTGTCTATGAGCACATGAGGCCTACAGCGCCTCTTATTGGTTCCACGTGTGATTCTTTGACTCGTCCAGGGTTCATGTGAGAAATCTCCCTCTCTGCGTAGTTCTACATCTTCCCACCAGGACAAAGGCTTCATCGACTCTTCCCCTAAGGAACTAAAATATACACTTATTATCAAAACCAAGAGGCCTTTCCCGCCCATAACGTGGCCAAAGCGCTGATTGTACAAGGTAGCTGACGGAGCAGCACGCACACGCACACACGCACACGCACACGCACACTGATGGGAGTGGACGGCTCTCACCTTGTTCAGAAAGCCCTTGAGCACGCTGGCAGCTTTCACTGACAGAGACCTTGGGATGCGAATGGGCTTCTCAAGAATAACTGTTGGCAGAAAGAAGAGAAGGACGGCAACAGAGAGAGAGAGTGAAACGTGTGAGAAGGGAGGAGGGTGATTCACCGTCCACCCTGCGTCCCTGTGCGTGGCCATGTCTGCTGAGTGGGAGTCCGGGGAAGGGAGGAGGTTTGATTCTCATTGTGACGGGTTCACCCGCAGCCTTCAGACTCAGCTCAACATGTCATACACATGATGAGCGCAAACTGCTTTTCCCCCACAATGAAATAAAAGCACATCTCAGGGTTGTTGATCACTGTGGTGAAGCCCCCCCCCCCCCCCCAGTAAGAGAAGACAAAAACATCAGAATGATGATTCTTGGTAGAGGTGGTTTAAGCACAGTGAGGAAGATCTGCAGACAAAATGTTGACAACAAATAAAAGCTGTTTAAAGTTATTGGTAAATTCAAGGCCAGTGTTTTTTGTAGATAAGATGAAATATGACATGAGGACATGGGAGGAGACTAAAACCTCGTTATGGAGACGTGCGCGGCCCCTGAAGGGTCTGATAATGACGAGGGAGGTTTCACATAGTGTGTGTAGAGGCAGGAAGGCTCCCTGGTTGCCGGATGCTGACGGTCGGAGCCACCAGCCTCAGGGGAATATGTTTTGGTTATTATTTGTTTGTAAAACAAAAAGCTGCTTGTCACGTCTGTCCGTCTGTGTCAGTCTGGCATGCGCACCACTGATACCCAAGCGGGGTCCGGCGGGGTCCAGCACAGCGCCATATGGCTGGGCGGCCTCCGATGGGGAAAAGGTTGGTTTCCGTTGGCAGGACCATGGAGGAACCTGCTGCTCCACCAGTGAGACGGCAGGAGGAGGCTTCTGGTGACAGATGCTCGCCGCGGTGCCGCGCTACGCTGCCGACAGTCGCAGCAGAGACGTAGTGCGTCACGCGAGGCTGCTGTAGTACGGAGGAATTTCTGTTAAAGAAGCAGTGTGTGGGTGTGCTGTGCGAGAGGAGGAGGAGGAGGAGGTAAAGGGTGAGCGAGGCCACCATATGGCTCGAGGAACACTGATATCAGAGAGGTTCCTCCGTCCTGACGGGACACAAAGAAGGGGGTTAAAGGTAAGCGGCGTCACCCTCTGAATACCATCAGTGCCTTATGAAAAGACGCTTTGACTTCAGTCTTTGAATCACACACACAAGTGAAAAAGGACAGAAGCTTAAACTCAAAATCTTTGCTTAAAGAGACATCAGCAAAATGCCCTCATTTCCATTGCAGCCTGAAGAATACAGCCTAAGGGCCATGAGCACGGGAGGCAGGCGATCTTTACGTGCATATTTGCACAACTGTAATTCCCTCACGGGTGTAGCACGCAGACTCACACTATTCAGACCACGCACATACTGTAAGTACTCACAGTATTACAAGCGCTGCTTTGCTTGACTTTCATTGACACATGTTGTAGGACGGGGAGCTAATGCACAGTGACAGTATTATAAGGAAGGACTTACATCCTTTTACCCTTCATTCTGACCGTCGTCCAGCGGGCTGCAGTGCTGGAGGATATAATGATGGACATCCTCTGCATTACAGTCTAGGTTTGTAGGGAAGCAGCACTTCAACCCAGACTCTGTTCATGCTGGATTCTCCGCAGTACATCATCGCCATGTGACCTGCCAGCTGAATTAACCAGGCGGCGGCGCCGATCTCTGCCTGTCTGACTGACATCTCTCAGTGGACGTCCGCCCACCATCTGAAAATCAACCCCGACAAGACTGAATTTCTTCAATTTCCGGGATAAATTCTCCGACCCAGAACGTTCAACACTAACAACTCCGTGTTAACGCCCACTTTGACTGCAGGAACCTCGGCGTGACACTCGACAGCCGACTCTCCCTGACTCCCAACGTCACTACAACACCGTCCTGTAGATACACTATGGCGCCAAATCACTCTCAGAATTCGAGAGCGTGAATCAGGTTGATGCGCCAGCAAATCTCCGTCTCGCGCGAGATATTTGCTCGCTCGCGGGGTTGGTCTCTGCTCGCGCTCGAAGGTGTTTTCTAGGCGCTCGCTGTTGTTGTTTTTGACAGTAAGGGGGCGGAGCCAGTCACCATGGTCTCTACACCTGATTGGTTACAAAATGGGATAGAAAGTCTAAATTATGAGACAAAACGTTGTCAAAACACAAACGCCCCCCTTCGGTAACCGTAGTGGAGCGTAGACGACAACCAGCTACAAGCATCATTTACCACCATCACCGGCACATTAGGGCCGATGCGTCCAGCGCGCAGACAACTGAATCCAATTTCAAGGCGTAACTAAACGTGACTGGAGGTTCCCTAAACTTCCCCCTGTCCCACTATTGTCTCTCTAACAATGGGTTTCCTCAAACGCCACAAGATGTTCATAGACTTTAACAAAACAAGTGTGGATTAAAAGACAACGGCAAACTAAAACAAACATTTGAGAGACTTTGTGAGATGTTTCGTTCTAATGAAGGAATCCAGAACCGTCCAAACATCCACAGCTGATGGTTATTTCATTACATGGAATCTGACCTGAAGTCAGCCCATCGCTGTGACTCCCTGCTACCTGCTGGCCGACATCGTTCTCCTTGGAGATGACAACATGCCACAACAGACCTGCAGGCCGGGAAGAGGTCATGAACCGTTTCCAGGCCGTGATGGGAAAGTGGGGTCCTGTGAGTCCGCACAGCTCCAGGGACTTAGAAGACCAGTTCAACTGCTACATCCTTCGGAGACTGAGTGATGAACTATAGTTCATCGGGGGGAGGATGTTGTAACTTTAAGGGTATAGTTTACATTTGACTTATAATTATTTGACTTTTCTGTTTTCCGTTTGTTCCGTTACATTCCGATTGCATTGTATTGTATTTAAACATATGTAATTGCCTTAGTTAATGCGATTTGATGCATTTCAATTCATTAATACTGTTGTTTGATAATGCAGTAAGTTGAATGAGTAGCAACATTTCCCATAGTGCATTGCGAGTGGCACTTCTGGTTTTTGCCTCTTCAGTTTTGTACCCAGTTGTGGACCTCCATTTATTTCCTGCTGGCTAGTTAGATTGAATACAACAGTGTGCGTCACACTGACTTTTGGTCGTGGACGGTGAGCCACTGGGGCCGAGGTGCTGGACTTTGATATGAGGCGAGTTTAGAGACAACGTGGATTGTTTCACTGGCAGCCAGTTAAAAAACACACTTCAAAGCCATAAAAGTCAAAATCATCATTAGACGAGAGCTCTTTCTTTGTCATAGTTTATTTTATAATAAATGGAATAAGTCAGGTAATGAATAGTTTGTAGGTTACTTGTGGTGGTTGGATTGCGGCAGTAAAACAACTCTTGGTTTTGGGGATCATAAATGTTTGTCAGGTAAAATAAGGGTGACTTTAATGGAACTCCTGGTCGTTAAGTTTACGTGGATATAAAGAATAAACCCTTATTCCTTATTCCCGCTCCGCCCACCACGGCCTCTGATTGGCCGGTCCGAGTTGCCTCCCTTGATCGGGGAGCTCAGGTTTAGGCACAAAAAGTGATTGTTGAAAACCGTGCGAGTCAAGCCACAGAAAGTCCTCTCACAGTGTTCAGTTCCTCCGCCTCACCTTGAAAGAGGTACTCCTCCGTGTTCATGTCGGGGTTGTCGGTGATAATGTCGAACGGGGATCTCCCAGCCATCATCTCAAACATCAGCACGCCCAGAGCCCACCAGTCCACACTGAAGCCTGGGCCGCACACAACAGTAGGACAAGTTACCGCCTCATGTACAGTATACGTGTGTGTGGCATGAAAGGACCCGGTCAGTAAAACGGTTCCCATGTGCATGCACTGCCACAGACGCTCAGACTAGAGGAGTTGAAAAGTCCAAACTGGTCCTGAAATTGTGAAGTACACAATCTGGAAATAATGGTGCATCTCTTTGAGATATCGTGACAGAATAAAGTGCTCTAGTGATAACGTTACTGACTCAGACTCTCCCAGAAACCCCTCCCGGGTCCACGTGCTGCTTCTTATGATGTTTGCTGTGCCATGTGAGGGTTTCTGGACAGAGGATGTCACATGTGTACAGACTGAAAAGCCCTCTGAGCCTAATTTGTAATTTGCGATTTTGGGCTCTACAAAATGAAATGAATGGAATGTAAGGTTGGAGGCTACAAGGATGCAGCTTTTAACTCCTGAACAAGGAACCAGCGAAAGAGTAAAGAGTCAGTACGGTACGGACCGAGGTCTACGGCTGGAATCCCCCTCCGACTGTTGAGCGGGAAACACCCCCCAACTCCTTTAGTCTGAGTCTGTTTTTTAGGCTACACAAGTTTAAAGGATTTAAATTAATATTGATCTCCTTTTTTATCTAAACTTAGATCATAAGTTTGGAAAAGGAAATGTCGGTTGTGGTGCTCAGCGTCGGGACACAAACCGATCCGACTCACCGTAGTCCTCTCCTCTGAGGATCTCGGGGGCGATGTAGTTGGGTGTTCCACAGAAGGTACTAGTGGTGTCACCTGGTCTAATCCCTTCCTGAGGGGGAGAAGACGACACGGTTGCAGTGATCCAAAAGACAAATCATGTGCAAGAATCAGATCGGTGGACAGAAACGTAGAAACAGCGGACCTGTCGGTACCTCCAGTCAACACAAGGCTGCATCATTGATCACCACTGGACCACTGACCACACAGGTGAAATAAACAAATCAATGCGCTTCTACCTTGCACATGCCGTAGTCTGTGAGCTTGATGTGTCCATCGTGGTCCAAGAGAACATTGTCCAGCTTCAGGTCTCGGTAAATGATGCCCTTTTCATGCAGGAAGTTCAGAGCGATACAGATTTCCGCAGCATAAAATCTGTGGAGAAGAGAGACGTGCAGGGAATGATGAGCCCTGGTCCACTGGGGCCACCAGCAGGCCAAAGATCCACACCAGAAAACCACACAGCCATGTAGGCCACAGACACAAGCCTCTCGTTGTGCTGCGGCTGTGGGGTGAATCTGGTGTAGTCAGGTCCTCGGATCAGCCCCCCAGGGCTGTAGTGGTGACAGCAGAGGTGGGTAGGCAATGCGTTTTGTGATCAGACCTCGCAAAGCACCGCAACGCAAAGCACCGCAACGCAAAGCACCGCAACGCAAAGCGGAGTCGCCAAAACAGCGGCTTCTTATCCCCTTGAGGTCCGACCTGCTCTCAGTGCTTCCTGCGTATCTCGCTAACAGGCGACTCTTCCGTGACTTCACCAACGTATCGATGAAGCACAAAGGCCTCTTCAGTGAAGAGCAGCGTGGCTTCCCGCTCACGTTCCCATGCCAGAGGCATGATGGGAAGGGCAATGGGCCGGGGGGGGGGCTCCCACTTTAAACAGTGCAGACAGCCGTTTCATTGAGTCTACATCATGATAAAAAGGCATCATCATCACTTGGTTATGGAGGTGACCTTTAAACGCGGTTCACTAAGCTAACGTCACGTCTAACCAGCTTGCAGAGTCTACAAATCCCCATGAATTAGCTTAGCACTGATGGTCCCACGGCTAATGAATCCTTTTGAAACAGGCAGGCTAATCCACAGGGCTGTGCCGTGTTTAGAAAGACTCTGACATGACGATGAAGCTTTTTCAAGTAAACCCATTCATTTATTGACGCCCAAAAGGACAGCTGTCCAACTTGCTCGCAACTGGCCGGCTCGTTAGCATGTTAGCTTGTTGTGGCTGATAGTGTTGCCACCAGAGGCTCGACAGACTTTGCAACAAATTGTTTTCTCACGTAACTAATGTTGGATTTTCCAAAACCTAAAACCCTCGTTGTGTTGCTGCCTCTCTGGTCTCTCTTTGTTCCTCCTGTGTCGCTCATTTCCGTGTTTTCATGTAGCAGCAGAGTTACTTCTTGTTGTGAGCTTTACCCAGCATGCAGTTCGGCGGTGTCATTTTTGTAAATGTACATTATAAATGTAGTGTGTCGTGGTGTTTCACCCTGTTAAATAGTGAGCAACGTCAGTTGTTACGGCGTAACACTGTATGAACGCTGCGTACGGGAACCTGTCCCTGCCGGAGGCGGTAACGGAGCGCCGACAAGGCGACTAAACGTGACTATCTCGAGGAGGGAAAGTCGGGCGCAGACCTTCCCGCGCTGGCTCGCTCGCTAACGGAGCTGTTGTGCATGTTGCTTACTTTGGTTTTAAATTCAAATGCAGCTAATTAAGTGTAAAAGGGAATATTTTCCCGTTGTGCCGCCAGCTGCTGGTCATTTGGGTTCATCATTAAAGTTGATTTTTTCTCTCGTTGGCAGTAGAGTTGAGAACCCCCGCTTGAGACCAATCGGCTATTGCTGATTGATCCCAGAGTTTGGAGGTAGAAAGAGGTTCCATGTCCTTATGGTGACCTGTTTTAGAACACATTCATCTTACACGCCTCTAGTTTGGACCCTATTGGAAGTAGGTGATGTGTCCCTGTGTAGGTGTGCATTGTGTCTCCGGCAGATAACCCTTCATGTAGAGTGACGAGCTTCTCCGTCTGCCTGCTGTCAATCCACTGACACATTGCTCCCCCACATGTCTCACTGTGACAGCCTCCATTGTACAGGGCTGTTTCCCTGCTGGCATCAGACTGATAGGAGCGACGTCCAATCAGCAGCCCCGTCCATCGCCCACCGGCCCGCCTCCCCCGCAGTGTGGGGGAGATGCTCCCTCTGAGAGCTCATGAATATGTACAATCATTATGAGTGATTAACATGCTGCTTTGAATATGTACAGCCACTGTCTACAGCGCAGGGGCCGATAGGGGCCCGACGGCGCCTCTCGGAATCAGCCAGCCTTTGATCCAGCATTTATCCGAGCCGCAGTTGGAATGCCATGCAAGCACAGCGGCACAATGAATTATGGGGGCTCATTATATTTCTCAGAGTTGAAAAAAAAAAGTGTTTTGGCAGCGTTGCCGTTTGCATGCAGAGCTGCTCGAGCTTCCCATGGAGCACAGGTGGGTAAGGAGTCCTGAGAAGAAGTAAGGTGGGAACATGGAGCTTATGAAAGCAGCTGGCCTACACACAACAGCCAGCTGCTCTAATCGCACTGATGGCTGATGAAAGACAAGGAGAAACCATTTCATTACTGTATGAAAGTAAAGATGTGTTTCCTGTTTAGCTAGCCTTCGCGGTAGACCTGGTCTGGTCCGCACCAGCACTGCATGCTGGGATATGGTGGGCCGCAAAGGACAGATCCGATGCGTCCTCCAAAAGCGGCTCCCGGAGGACTGAGTCCCTCGACCGCGTCGGATTGGTGAGGTATGCGGTGGACGAACGCGTCCTTAAGGACCACTTCTATCTGGACTGCAGAGGTTTCCTCTCTTCTCCCAAAGCGCCTCAGCAGGAGTCAGGGCAGGGCAGCTGACTATGGGGCCCATTTACCCGGAGCACATTCATGGAGGCCTCACTGCAGTGCCTCGGTCCTGCTTTGGTTTTCATGTCAGTGAAACATTCGGTATGAAGCCACCTGACTGTACAGGTGTGCTACCTGGACCCGTCGGGTGTCTGATTGAGTGAAACATACGAGTGCACATAGTAGTGACGTCAGCATACGGTTACCTTGCATGCTCTTCAGGCAGCTTCCTTTGTCGTTGCATATGAAACATCAGGTCCCCACCATTCACATATTCAATCACCAGAAACAACCTGCAAACCAGAGAGATGAGAAATGTCATGTAGGACTAAATCTGAAAAACATATCAGATATAGAAAATATAACTGCTGTAAAGGATTTCGTGAGTGCGTTTTGAATGCTAGAGGGTCCCTGCCAGTAGTTGTTAAAAGCACAAGCTGATCAGTTCCTGTGGTCTGATGTGCAGTACTTTATTCCTATGACCAGTCCGTATAGTGTGTGGTGTGGAGCTGTCCCAGTACGGATTCCAGTATGAGAAATGAGGGCATCGGTGTGAGGGGGGCGGGAGCTTTCTGAGTGACAGCCCCAGCGTGGTCTTACCGACTCTCTGTCTGGAAAGAGGAGTGGAGGCCTACTAGGAAGGGATTGGAGGACGCCTGCTCGAACACGTGCTTCTCTGTCTGCACCCAGTCGATATCCTGGAGGAAGGGGGAGGGAGAGACAATGTGTTAACAGTCAGTTAGTCTGATCAATAGACATTCTCTTCCACGCTAAGCCACCCATGAGTCTAGTCTGTCTCTAGAAACATTCTCACATGGAGCATTATTCTCTCTTTTGACCAGTGCCGGGCAACGACTACAATGTTTTGCATGATTTTGTGAGTATTGAGTGTTTTATGCAAACACTGAATGGGGCGTTCAGCAGTATTCTCTTTACAGTAGTTTGTAAATCTCAACTAAACAAAGGATTTAATCAAAAGCCACTAAGGTTTTATCTACGTAGTTACCGCCCACGGGCAGGACATTATAACAGGCAGGTGGACATTTGCAAATATGAACCGGTTCCAGCATGAACAATTTCCTTTCAACAGGGAGCAGAACTATTGAGAACTATTGATCAATAGCAGCTGTCCTCAGTGGGAGGAGACAGGGTCCAGGGTTCGGTGGAGTTGGAAAGAGATTGAAAGATCAGGAATTCTCGGATCAATAACTCGGTGAACTTCATTTAAGACATGCTGTCCTCTGAGCTGGACGAATAACGTCGGTCTGAGCAGGGACCGTCCACAAAGTGCAATACGGAAAACATCTACTAGGGAAATATTTCACCGTTATACGGCGTCCCCAAAACCCCACATTACATCAACGCGCCAGCTTTGGGAGGGTGCAAAACCCACCAGCTCATCGGTCACAGGTCTGCAGACCCTCGGCTCCCTGTGTGGCGTCTCAACAGCTAATCAACACCGACGCTGAAGGCCACCCAGGACTTCAGAAAGCAAAGGAAGAGTCCAGATATGGAAGAGACCGTGATGAGGAGAGGACAGATGCTCATTCAATTGTTGGCAGATCTCCCTTCAATTCTGAATCCAAGAAAGTCCTCCAGGAGGTCCAGGGAGCACTTGAAGAAGAGGAGGCCAAGACCCCACATGGTGAGAAGAATCAGCCATCATTGATGTCCTTGTTAGTCTGCTGGTGAAACGGTTGGACACAGAAGAAGACTCGTGTGGTCCCAGTAGAACTCGGACACCAGGTGGAGAGACGCTTTGGTACCGTTCAACATTCACTTCAGGAAACGCAGAGGCCTTTGTCAGGAAGATGTGTGGCTTTCTACAAGGCAGATGCAGAGAACACGTCCTGTTTTACAACAAGGCCGTCCGCCTCCTGCTGTGACCACGAGGGGGGCAGCTGCCCTCCCCGAAGGGGCAGTCACATAAATGAATGGATTTGGATCAAAGAACCTCTTCCTACGTGGTTCTGGTCGTAGGCTCGGGAACAAGCACGCACGGATCTCAGGCCGCCTGCTGCTGACGACTCCTGGGGGGTGAACACAAGAAGGCCCTGCAGGCCAACTAGCTCATTGAAATAGACATTCGGTCTGGAGCAGAAGTCCATAGTCTCTGTACCTGCAGGCATCCTATGTGTAGGAGCTTTTTGGTGTATGACTGAATTTAGTGATATTTTTTACAGAAAATGCCGGTAGCAGGAGAACGATCTAGTGACGCTTTACTTACGTTGGAATTGAAGCGTGTAGCACCGGCGAGAAGTGGGGTGACAAGCAGCAGCTTCTTGAGCATAGCCAGGGACTTTTGTGACTCAAATCTTTGTTCTGAATTCTGGTTTTGAGTTTTGAGGAACTAGCATCACTTGGATCAGTCGGAAACTAACATAATTCTATGAAAAGCAGCAGTAAAGAATCTCCATTCAACCACTTACACTCAGCATAGGAAGAAGCCATTTATTCAGGCTTCATTCAGTTTCCTTTCATTACGATCCTGTAGTAATGTACAATGGTTGTGAGTTCCAATACCATACGGTTCATTTATCAGTAGAGAGCACTCATTATTACTGGACAAATTCAGAATCATGCAGAATCTGCTAGTGGACTGAAGGAAGGAATTACTAAAGAGAAGAAACAGAACCTGCTACAATGTGAAGGCGCTGCTTCTGTGCTGTGGTTACTGATGGGATATGTTGACCAACGGCGCCATCCACTGGCCTTACACCAAACCACGCGATGTGAACTCATCCGTCACTGCTGTCAGCTGGCAGGGCGCCACTGTCCCCACCTGCTAACTACGCCCTCCGCTCCACCCACAGACACGTCATTCACATCAATATTTCACGACGACAAACACATAATACTGATCTCACTCGCAGAAAGAGGACTATAATGGTTCTCGTGTCCGTCTCAAGTCCACAACCAAACCAGGATTTCAATAAACAATGAAGCACAGTCTGGAGACGATTTTGGGCTCCTGCTGAGTAACATGCACCTGAGCACAGAGTGTACCCCCCCGTCTCACAGCCTGGACATCCCAGGTGTCCCGAGTGTCTCACCTCGTCATCGTGGACCAGCTCCTTCTTCACCACCTTCATGGCGTACACCTGCTTGTTCTTCTTCAGCCGGACCAGAAGCACCTTGGCGTAGCTGCCGCGCCCGATGACCCGGATCAGATCAAAGTCCCCCAGGCCGAGAGCCAGACCCTGGGACAGCTTGATGCCGTCGATGCCGTCCACCACCGCTTTGATGTCCTACAGGGGGCAGAGGTGTGTGGGTACCATTCACTGATGAATACGCACGGTTAGAAGGCTTCATGTTCAGGTTTTAGGCCGGAGAGTGAACGTTTTCACATGTTGTGACAGGATGTTTCAAAGACAGGATGATTATTTTAAGAGCAACAAATAGGACCATGCAAACTTCTGGCAAATGTCAGTAAGCTCTCACCTCTGTATCTGCATCCTGGGTTTGATCCACTGTACAGTTGTGTGGTAGGAAAGGTACTGCAGACACAGAGCGGGACATTTAGAATGTGATATAAGCACATCTGCAGTGACGGGTTTAACATGCGCTTCTTTCTCTGGCCAGTAGAGGGAGGCAGAGCACACGGCATGCAGTCCAGCTAAACACCAGGAATTCCTAAACTAGGTCAATCCTCAGCCATCTCCATCATATCCCCCCAGGCCACTGTGTTCTGTGGGGCCCAATCAGAGAGCAGCAATGTGGTCAAACTCTGAGAGGTGAAGCTACCAGGTGTAAAGAGAATATCCGTATCTGTTCAACGAAACCTTCAGTCTGGGGACATCATGTGCAGATTGTCAGTGCAAACAGGGCCTTCATTGGTCCCCATGTTGATCCATGTACAGCCTTTTGGGGTGATGGCAGCTGTGTTCAGACACGCATGGTTTGAGCGTGTACGTGAAGCTGCCATAAGGGTTTCCCCACTGAAGGCCCAAGTCAGAGGTCACTTACAGTGCTTGGTATTCAGTTTCATTCAGGAAATAAACAGCAGATGATGAGGCGATCGCACTGCAGTCCGTCTGCAGCGCTCCCCCTCCATCCTACAGAGAATCAGGGTACCTCTAAGCTATGGTCCCAGTGAGGTATTGGAGGAGCTGAGAGGTTGACCTGGTGGGTCCTTATAATCTACACAGCCTTTGAAGTTGTTTTACAGGAAATAAAGATCCTAGTTGTTAAGGGGAACAGGAAATACTTAGACCTCACTCACATTGTGCCTTCAGAACGCCACTGAGGATCCAACTTAACTAAATGCAACATGTATTTTGTGCACTGCAAAGAAAATTGTGTTGAGTCTGGTAAAGCAGAAATATAATATCTGTGTTGTGAGATGGTGGCACCACAGGAAATACAACCACCAACCCCGTCTGGAGGATAAAAGGAATAAGTCCAGTGTATAAAATCAGACTTCAACAAGCATTCAAAAGAAATGAGCAGTTTTCTCTGCTGTGTTTGCTGAAGCTTCTAGATGGTCAGTGTCAAATGTTGTTAAAACGCATGATGCTCAGAACCCTTCAGGACCCTTCAGGACTATTTTATATTGCTGCACCATGACCTCCGTAGCATTCTGCTGTATCTTCACACTACTTTATTACACTGCTCATCTCTTAGATTAACATGTCAACAGGACCAAGATGGCATCGCTGTCCTTTGCAGAAAAGAGAAGGAGATCTTACTTCCGTCTGTGTCCTCTGCGTCTTCTGGTGGAAGGTCCACTTCCTCACTCCTGGCGTCTGAAGGGGGCTCCTGTGATGGCATGACTGGATCCTGAACAAACACATCCAAAAGAGCACATGAATGTCCCAGACACGTTCCCCCAAATACCCACTGAAGTCTCCACTGTTGGGCTGCAGAGACGGAGACACCCTGAAACGGTTTGTCTCCAGAACAACTTGCTGTAGTTGCAATGGAGGACGCTACCTTGGATGTGATCCCTTAAAAGAGGGACAGCATGTAAGCACATGGAGCTCTCCTGGAGAGGGAATGTAACGTCCATCATCAGGGTTTCCTGAGGGGCCATGGGGGACAGGAGGACACACTCACCATAAGCCTTTGGCAGGTCTGAGGGATGAGTCTGTGACAGCGCTTATGGACCAGCAGTTTGCAGTTGATACACTTGTAGCCCTGCCCGGCCAGCCCCCATATCCTCTCAGCACAGTGGCCACAGTAGGCTTTCTGTAAGACACACGGGACACAGATTCATCGTCGGGGGTAACCGAGCGACGCATGAGTGTGATGGCCAGACAGAGGTCACACATTATCATGTCCTTTTACTTACTTACTCATTTTACATTCTGGACACCATGTTGGACAATACTCTTCTTTTGGCTAAACATGACAAGGGTCCAACCCTTTGAGTGGGACCAATCACATCCCACCGGCCTTTGGTTGAATGCAGGTAAACTGATTAGTGGAGACCAGGTTTGAGTTTGTGAAAAAGAGGACACTCCGTTGCTGGGGGGGGGGGAGTAATGTCACAAATGACTATATGAACATCTATTTATTGAGCTTTAACAAAAGTGCAAATGTAAAACAAATCTTTTTTGTGGCATTTAGTCCAGCGCTTCTTTAACGTGTCTCGTCCATATATTCAAGCAATAAGGATAACACATTCTAAATAATAAATACTTTATATAGCCACATATTAAAATAAGAAAATGAAACACTTTTCAGTCCTCCTCATTATTAAAGCAATAATGATAACAAATACGGGCTATCAGGGCACTAACAATGGCTTCTGTCTTGGTGCGAGCACTTCCCGAATCTGGGAAAATCTTCCTCAGCAAAGCAGATGTGCATCCCATTGATCTGTAGCTGCTGTGATGCTTTATTGTATGAAAATCAAGGGTAGCTCTGCAGCCGTAACACAAGTGTCTGTTTTACCCAGAAAAAGCCGGTGACTCTACTCGATCTTCTCTCCTCTTGCTGCAGTTTGTGTTTTGCAGAGTGCTCGTGAGCTTCCAAATCGCTGCTACCTTTATTAGCCACTGACACGTAAGCGCCTGCTGTGCATGTCATGCACTCAGCCTCCGAAGCATCACGGCTGAGTTCGTCCATAAACTGCAGATGTGCTGTAAACAAAGCAACTAGTGGAGGCGGCCAGGTGCTCAGTGTCGTACCAAAGGCTCAAACGGTCGTATTTGGAGGATAATTATCGTGTATCTGGCAACATTGAGATTCTCTCTACAGTCAGAGCTCGAGCAAGAAGGTGGGACGTAAGGGAGACACCATTTACAACACTTAAGGGCGGAATAACTAGTTAGTGAAAGACTCAGAGAAACACAAATATACGACGAAGCAGAATCCCGGACGTCTTTGGAATCCCTGCTGGACGCATTTTTTAGGTCTCAAAAAGAGGACATGTCCGGGGAAACGAGGACGTCTGTCACCCTTACATATGTAAAGGACATTTTGTGATTTTATCACATGTAATTTATTTTCTAACTAATTAGTAGCAGCCAATTATTGTTAGTTGAGTTACTTTTTTTGTTATTACATTTAGACACGTGGGACACGTAAAGTGCGCCTGATTATGTATTCCGCGTTATGTGTGGAAACAAAAATCCACCGACTGGAAGTGAACGTGGATGTAAATGGACTGTGTGGGAAAAATACCACTTTATCATGCACTCAAAACGCTGAACAAACGCAGGCTATGACACAGCTAACTAGCACCACCAGGCCTACCAAGAAGCAGGAGGGCTATGCAGCAGGTAATCAATCTTCTAATGCTAGTCCTCCCTGGAACTCTCTCGGTGCAAAGAGGAAATCATGACATCCCGACAAAGAGGCTTCTGAACTACTCCTCAACCCAGGAGGACAGAGCCCAGGAAGGCTGAGAAAACCAGCAAAAAACCTCCACCGCAGCCAAGCCAACAACTAAAAAACAGATTTTCTCCATTGACACAGGATGCTAAAAAGCAGGTAACTAAATGTGAGTAAATGTGAACGTAAAAGGCCTCAGGAAAACCTAATGACCGGGCCAGAGACTCAGGGCCTCAGGTACTAATGATTTTTTGCCCACTTCAGGAGTCTATGCATCCAGGGGAGGGTGATGGGGAAAGTGGGAGTGTCCCACAGAGAGATGGGAGGCGACACGTGAAGTGCGCCTGATTATGTACAGAAATTCAGTGCCTTTTAGAATCAGGTGTAAACCAGAATGCCTCCTGATGAAATAACAGCAGCATGTCGAGCCAGACGGCCACATAAGACAAGGACACGAGCCAAAAGTGTTTTTGCCACAAGGATCACCCTTTTTGAGTTGAATGAACATGAAATCATTACGCGTTACAGATTAGGCAACAATATTACACACTATTATTAATAGTTACTGGAAGAAATGAAAGATGACATTGCAACTCCGACTCAGCGTTCACATTCCATTCCAGCAGGTGTTAAACTCCTCGGTACATCGCAATTATTGCCATCGGGATCATTTCAAACAGTCATAGCATCAGCAGTGGCATCATCACAGCACAAGCACGTCACGCTTTGCTACAGCGCACTACTCAATACATACATTTCCCTCAGCCTCCTGCCAAACAGAAGGGGCACAAACAGTTTTTGTATGGGGTGAGAGGGGTCGCCTACGATCTTTTTAGCCCGCATCAGGGTCCTGGCAGAGCCGATCCCCCTCTCTGCAGAGCGGAGGACACGCTGCAGCCTGCCCTGGTCCTTGGCTGTGGCTATTCCAACTGAGGGAAGTAGGAAAAGGTCTGTCGTATTCCAACTTGTAGTACAAATCTATTTAGTGACACAATGCAAATACCTCCGGAAGAAGTTTGATGCAGTTTTTCCGCTGAGTAATGGATATGTGATGTACGTATAGTGTAGTCTGATAGTCAAGCACGTGGTCTCTGAACCTCAGCTGCAGTCTCACATCCCTCCCATCCCTCTGCGATGAGCAGAGCACGGAACCTCCTGTAACCTCCTCATTTCCTCGCACCGCTTCATTGCTGACACCCGATGAGCGTCGTGAGATTCATTCTGATAACTCACATTTCTGCTCAGTGACTTTTTGTTGCCTCCTGTGTGCGAGTGAATTCTGCTACATCATGTGGAACAGGAGCTAAAGAGACTCTTTCATCGGTAATAGAAGGGCTCCACGAGGCACCTTCCTCAGTGACAGAGGGGGAGGGTGGAGAGGGATGGGGTGAGAGGAGGGAGGAGAAACATGACCTACTTCTCCTCGGCGGCGTGTTTATATGCGGAGCACCGCGCTGTGAACCAACCAGAAGCCTGGAATCTGGCATAGCAACAAGAGTCAGAGAAACCTGACAGCCAACTAGTGAACAGCACTAAATCCACCCTGAAACAGTCCATCAATGTGCATCAGCTCATTCTAGCATTTTGGAATGGGTTTTTTTAAAGAAATCTGTAAAATGATCCCTTTTAACAATTGTTTAGGCAGCTCGAAGCACAACACACCGTGGTTGTTTGTTTATATGAACAAACAAGTCTTTAATTAGCTCAATCAAGCTTCATCGCACAAACTATGAACTTTGCCTAATGTCAATATCTGACGGATAACTGAAATATCGTATTTATTCATCCCCAGGTTCCGTGCATGGAAATAAAATATCTCACTTGTCAAGACGGCGTCATAAGCATCTTCATGTGAACTATTTCACATACTACACACAAAGCAACACAAAAGAGGAAATACCATCAACACACATGACACAGTGAACGTGCTCCTCTGGCATCGGCGGCGCAGTGAAGCAGTGCGGCTGTGTGCACATTTAATTCATTTTATCTGTATATATGAATATATAACTCCATGCATGCTGTGCTAAGTGCTCTGAAAAAGAAATCCACAAAAAACAAACAGGGACTGACTGGTGCTTGGAAATGATTGCTGGTAAAGTCACTATACATCTTTCTTTGTGCATGCAGGACTCCACAGATCATCACAAGCAATGGCCGGACTAAAGAGGTCTCCACTATGTGGAGACATGAAGATGCAGCAGCCATGGGAGATGCATTACTGACAATGGAGATGGGTCAGGCTCATGGTGAGGGCTGGAAACGTCTGCTTTGGGACAGGAACTGACTGAAGTCAGTGGTGTTCTCGAGCAAACATTTATGAGATATGAGCTTTGTTTTCTGCTCATGTTTCCGTGCATTTACAGATGTACTTTAAACAGGCAACATGAACCCATACAAACATCTTAATAGGCCTTTAGAATTGTTAAAATACATCAGACATCCCTTGAAAAAAAGCAGGACGTGGCTGGTCCCTCCTGTATTTGCCAGTGGAGCGGACTGCAGTGACATCCAGGTATCACCGTGCATCAGCAAGCACTCACCCTGTTAAAGCGCTTGGCCTGGAAGAGGTGCCCGTTGACTCGGTAGAGCTTCCTCCATCTTCTGGCCCCTCGGCGGTAGATGGACTCTAGGAGAGAGAGCAAACGGCTGTAGAGTAGCAGCATGGCGAGTGGATAATGGGCTCGGTGGGGAGAAGAGAAGGATGGAGGGGACGGGGAAAAGGGTCAGGTCCAGCAGCTCCTCCTTCACCACAAGTAAGAAGTACACCAATGCACACACACACACACACACACACACACACACACACCACTCCCTAGTTATTCAGCCACCGTCCTCTCTTCTTTGACCCTGTCTCTGCCTTTACTCAACACAAACATCTTCCTTACCTCCATAAGTGTATCTGTGAGGCCTTTCATGGAGATGAGCCACAGAAGGTTGGTTATAATGGGAGCATGCAGTCAGATATCGATAACAAGTGACCAGTGGAGGGAACGCTGACGCCTTATTATTGCCTCCCGCCAGTCTTACGTTAAAATTCTCGTTTTAAAATAGTTGATGGAACCAAAGTCATTGACGCCCACTACTGTCGACTAGTTAAATACACACCAGTGAGCACAAGCTGCTCTTATTGTAAGTCTTTATAGGTTACCCAGCATGCCGTTCTCCCCCAGGTTGTTGCTCTCATCTAAATCGCCTCCTGGGTCCTAAAGGCCTTCACGTACTGCTTCTTATAAACATCAATAAGTATCATGAACATTACTGTACCAACCAAAAAACACAGCTTAATAAATGTTAACTGGCTGTTGCTCGGAAGGTGCTGCTTATAATGCTGTTAAAAAGCACCTTGTTTGTTTAGAGTACAGTTACTTATTAACTATTCATTAAATGATGTGATTAATAGCATAAACTGACTTTAGATACCCCGTCTTTCTCCTGTAGTTGGCTGGGATAGACTCCCCCCCCCCCCCTCCCCCCCCCCGCGACCCTGTGACAGGGAAAGCGCTTTGACGATGGATGGATGGATGACTTTAGATACTTGGAAAATAAAATCAAATAAAAACCAGCCCTATTTCTAAGAATTTTACATCAACTGACTACCGTGGGGTTTAGTTTTATATTTTCATGGGACATGAAACCAATGATGGACAGGTGGAGATATCCTGAGACCTCACGTCTCTTCACGCTGAGCTCTTGAGATGTTCCACCATGCTGCCGCCTGCAAAGTGCTACTTTGGTCAAAGTCTCTGTAGTGACAGATTTGCAGGGTGAGGGAGAAAATCCGCTTCCTCACTCGCTCACACAGAGATTACAAGTCTTTTTGTTTATTTAATTATAGATTTTATGAAACACGCCTCCATCTATATTCCTTGCTCTCGCTGTGCATCCTGGTAGCGGTAGAAACCTTGCGCTCTCCCCGTCGCCCATGCATCATTACCTAACTGCCCCTGTGCCCCCGTATGTAGACCGTCACACTGCCACCCTGAGATTGGCTCCCAACACCAAGTGGTACACAACATCCTGAATGGCTCCTACAGTCTCAGAGGAAGACATATTGATAAAGGGGGGACTCATTGAGGGCGATGAGCAGGGTGGTGACGGATAAACCCGTTGCCATACCAATCAACCCATTATCAACCCTTTTCAACGTGCTGCGTTTGGCCTCAAAGGATCCCTCACAGCGTGAAGTGACGTGTTTGGCTCAGCCACAACACGCATTGCCTTCCAGACTCTCACTAATTATTCACTAGCATCTCCGCCGTCTGGACTGGTTTCCAGTCTAGTTGGTAGCTCCAATGATGGGACTGGATGGGTCCATTCACTCATCGTTTTGCCTCTGTTGCTATGGAGTGAGGATGTTTTCTCAAAGTCCGTCCTAACGACAAATCCCTTCTCCTTTTTTTGAAAAAATGATTCGACCATTGTGCAAAATGAGGTGGAACACACCGCCTGTCAATGTGCTGTCCGTCTGCTGAGCAATGGGTGTGATGACATCTTCATGCTGTGGGGTGAATCCATGTTCCAGATGGGTTTCATCATTCATTTCAGTATCTCTTTAAGGGCGCAGCCTCCCAAATGTTCATGTGCTGAACCTTCTGCGTGTTGTGAAGAAGGTCTCATCTCTGAGACACAGAGAAGCTCTCCAGGGTCTCCTGTGACTTCCCTCTGGCCTCCAGAGGAAAGCGCAGTCTGCCTTGGGGAGTCACTGCGCTGCGTTTCCATAGCGACCCAGTGTTCCTACCCCGAGCCAGCACTACTGGGTGAGTCATGGAGGGAGAAGACGCGTATCAGTGATTGAGGAAGGTGAAGCTACACGGCGTGTGATTAAATAATGAAAGCGACAGATGTTTTGACTAAGTGGATGATTGCAGCTTTGTGTCTTTGATCACAGTGCAGATTAACAGGTGAGTGTTAAATGCTTTATTCACTCATCAATCTGTGGGTTTAAATGGTGAAGATCACATTAATAATCTTAACGGCATTTAGAATTCCACTCTGATGGAATTTGATATTATTTAGTTTCCATTTAACTGGGGAGGGAAATGACTATTGATCATGTAACAGAATCAGAATGAGCTTTATTGCCACGTAGGCTCATATTACCTCTTCTTCTGGTTTACACTCCATGAGCACTGTAGGACTGTACAAGTCTTGTAGTTCTGTTTAGGCCAAGCCTTTGTTCAGTTACTGATGGGACAACACAGAAATGTGTTGAATACAGTGCTAAAGCAGGTCATCACAAATAATACCTGCAAAGTAGCAGCCTACAAGCGGCTACCCCCTCCCTCACATACCCTCCCAACACTGCATGTTTTCACCCTCGGCCGTGTGTGGCTGATCCCATTGGCCAATAAAGCCAATCAGGCCTCTTCCAAGCCGTTTTAGACTTGTGGGATGAGGGATGCTCTGCAGTGCCATGATTAACTCTCTTAGTCCGACCTCTAATTAAAGCATCTATTCTACCGTGCTTTTACTCAGCGCGCTCCACATAAAGGAGGAGACAAGGCCACTGCAGAGGGCACTAGATTACAAAGGACGCTCAATTTTTAAAGTCGGGGTCCTGGAAATGTGATCGGCGTTGAGGAGTCGAGCTGAGGCCTTTGCTTGTGTGTGCAGAGTGTGCTGAGCTCCCCACCGGCCCCCCATCCATGTCAGACCACTGCTTTATGGTTCTGATCACCATTTGGGCTTTGCACGAGTAGATGCACGGCACTGACTGGGATGCATGGCCCTGCACTGCCATTCAAACCCACAGCCAGCCGCTGGAGGGAAACCACATGTTTGGGCTGTCAGACAGAGTGAAACACTTTGTGCTTCCCGGTCAGAACCAGAACTAAGGATTAGATGATGCAGTTAAGAAACACAGTCCAGTATTTTTACACCTACAAACATAAAGATGACATTTAGTGTTCCACTTTAGAATTATCGGGTTCTACATAGTATTTAGAGCTTTACTTTGCAGTTTGGTGAACAGAGAAATAGGAAAAAGCAGAAAGATAAAAGACTTTTTCTAAAAAAAAAAGGTTTGGCTCATTTTGTAAAGCTGGAATGTTCATTCGATAAGTCATCAGCATCTTTCTGCAGAGGATTTGCTGCTTCTGTAACATTAATGTATATTTAATCTCTTGAACAGCTGGTTGGACAAAAGGACAATGGAGGATTCTGACCAATAAAAGGACTCGCTGAAGGTCTCCTCACAAGCTTCTTCTGGACCTTTGTGTCACGTCACATGAAAACATGGGACCTATTGTGTGCCCATTCTTCACTAACTGATGCCATTTATAGACCATCTAAAGGAGGTACTACGTAGGGAACTACCCATCAAACTATTCATCTAGCAACATATGTAAAAATGAGAGAGCTGTCCAGAGGTGCCGTGTCCTGTCCATCAGTCTGCAGACCTCAGAATACAAACGTGTCCCTGCTACAATCTAAATGAGAATAATTATACAAAGAGGACCACGCTCTCACTTGCAATACGAGACAAATAAACCAGTATTAGATGTTCTTGTTGTTCAGCCCCAGTAGGACACGTGCCATGCAGTTAACATGTAACTGAATTCCTTATTGTTCTTCTGAACGGATTAAGAGAAGCCACACTGTCCTCAAATGGACATACAGATAAGGCCTGTGACAGGGACACGACGTAGATCCAGCTCAGCAGCTCGCATGCTACTGAGGACAACGAGAGGCACGAGCTGCCGGAGCCTCACGTGTCCCCAGCCAGAGGAAAACACGGGACATTGGACATTGGAGAGACACACACTGTGTACAGGCGATGGATCTACTGGAGGCAGCGCAGCAGACTTCAGCCCCGAAAGAAGAACCCCGTCTGATCCAAGTATAGCCTCACCGCATCATAGTGAGAATACTAATGAGGGCTCGCTTCCCATGCAGCTTCTCTCCGGTGCCGGATGTGATGCCGCCCTCAGGTGACCCTGATCCCGGATCCCCTACCTTTGACTCGAAGGTAGAAGAGCAGCGTGAGCAGCATCCCTCCGGCTCTGTCGGCTTCCTCCTCCTCTTTGCTCCAGCGTCCGTGTCGCTCTCTCTGCACTCCTCTCTATTCGCTTCCACTCCTCCTCATCTTGTCCCAGTGCTCATTCACATCCGAGCAGCAAACGTGCACAAATTCTCTGCGTGCGTGAGCAGGAAATAATCCTCAGTGTGCTGCCGGGGGTCCAGGCTCCTCTCAGGGACTTGCTGCTGCGCGCAGCAGTTGCCTCGTTTTCCCCACAAGATGGCAGCCGTATGCTGGAGCCCACCGCTCTGCACTCGACACACCTGAACATAAATTTAAACCTCTGGGACTATTTTTAGTGGCTCGGCTGAGCCTTCGGAGCCCATCCTGTCGGCTGCACTGTGGACGTGTACTCAGGTACCTGCAGACACTCGATGGAGCAACAAAGTACCGCCAACGAATTCAAGGCTCAAGAGCTTCAGGCCAAACCGAGACCTAGTCCAAGTCCAAGACAAGACAGAAACTAAACTCTGGGCCGAGTCAAGACTGAGACCAAGGAAAGGCAAAGACCAAACCCAAGACACTGGGCTCTAACATCCACAGCGAGGTCCACACAGAGACCCCCCCCCCTTAAAAGGCACAACGTATAGGCTCTTCATAGACCCTCG